AAAAAAAAAAAAAAGAAAAGAGAGCAGACTAGAACAAGTATATATGGGAGGTTAGGCCTTTGAGACTTTTCGTGAGTTTATGAGCATGACTTTATGAATTACGTACAGAATGTATTTGCTCTTCCTTGTCAATTGTGTAGAAGAGCTAGAAGAAAATAAATTATAAGAAAAATGGTACTTCACTGAATCGAAAATGCCTTTGATTATACCACTAAGAGAAAAAACAGTGTCAGTTAAAATATGACACATTCTCTTCTTATCATCACTTTGAATTTGACTTTTACCTTATTGAATGTACTGTCTTCATCCTATTTAGACAAAGCTATAACAGCAATATTAACATCAATGACCAAATTTGTTCACGCACAGGCAATGACAAACTGTGGTATGACTGCAGCCTGGCTGATAGCTTTAGTAAGTTGGTACTGGTTGTAAAACCCATCTCAGTTTGAAAGATTTTTAAATGTAGGGGAAAAGATATGCTTCAAAATCCATGAAATAACACATGAAATCCATGAAATACAACAGTAGATCTGAAACCACCAAAAGGAATGTAACTGATTTTTTAAAGATACTCTTTTCATTATAAAGACTATGACTCCCCATGAGATTAGTTGGGATAATATGTTATCTTCTTTTTTTTTTTCAAGTTTATTTACATATTTTGAGAGAGAGAGAGTGAGCAAGAGCAGGGGAGAGGCAGAGAGAGAGAGAGAGAGAGTGAGAATGAGAGTGTGAGAGAGTCCCAAGCAGGCTGCGTGGTGTGGAGCCCGATGTGGGGCTCGAACCCATGAACTGTGAGATCATGATCTGAGCTGAAACCAAGAGTCAGACACTTAACCGACTGAGCCACTCAGGTGCCCCGATAATATTTTATCTTGAAGTAATATTAGTAGGGAAATGTAGATGTTTTCACTTTTTTTCCTCTTTGTTCTTTCAGGTGAACAGTGTGAAAGAGCTAGACGCCTTCAAGCTAAAATGATGACTAATTTGGTTATGGCCAAGGACCGTTTACAACTTCTAGGTATCACTTAATGAATTGTATAACTGGAATGAGATGTATTTGAAATGTGTGTTCAGTGCAACTTTAAAATTAGATGGAAATAGATCAATCTTAAAAATGTGTTCTAGGCTTTTTTTATAACTTACAGAAAATTTCTAACATATACAAAATAGAAGAGTATAATGAATTAATTATCCATCATTCAGCTCTAATAGTTATCAACTCCTAGTCAGTCTTGATGTATCTATATTCAAGGGCTGGCAAATTACAGCCCATGGGCTAAACCCAGTTCACTACCTATTTTTATAAGATGGCACACAGCTACTCATTCCTGTAGATACTGTCTGGATGCTTTTATGCTACGGTGACAGTGGAGTAGTTGATACAGAGATCATAAAGCTCTCAAAGCCTTTTGATATATAGCTTTTTAAAATATTTTAATATTTACTATCTGGCTTCTTACAGAAAAAGTTTGCCAACTCCAGTGTGTGTGAATGTGTATATATACATATACATATGTGTGTGTGTGTGTATATATATATATATGTACAGAATTTGTTTCAACATAATATGAAGGGGGGAAGTGGGTAGCATATATACCCACTTTCCCCCCTTCATATTATGCTGAAACAAATTCTTGACATTTTTTTAATTCATTTATAAATATTTCCTATTGTATTTCTAAAAATGCCTTAAAAATAAAATTATCAAATGCCGTTATCACATCTAAAAAATAACCAATATTTCTTTTAATATTAACAAAAAAATCATAGCCAAATAAATGATTAGTGTCCAAATAGAATTTATATATAATATATAATATAATGTAATATAATGCATAATACAATGTTTAGTTAGTATCTCATAATTGAATAACTTAGTATTTTTCTGGTAATTTTTTGAATCAGGATCTCCAGAAGATTCATACGATATGCCTCTTTTAATATCCAAGTTCATCTGATAGGTGGTTTGTCAGTACTTCTGGCATTTTGTGATAGTAGTAGCAATTGATGACTGATGCTTAGTGATATAATTCTGTCATTCTTTCTGCATTTATCAGTTTGAATAGGTCTATAAAGAGAAACTTTTCATCTTCTCTTTGAAGGTATAGATTTTAAACTTATTTTTTTAAGGTAAATCTACCCCTAAAACAAAGTGGAACTAAAATCCATCCTTCTTGGGTGATTCTGTACCATAACTTGTTTTGATAGAAGTATATATTTGGTAAACAGATAGACCTTATATATTTATTACTCTGTGATTTATGGTAAGTTATTTAGCATGTTTGAGCCTTTTTCATCTCATTTATAATATGCTAATAGATAATACTTATCTCACTATATTTGTGACAGTCACAGAGACCATAGTAAGTACTCAAAAACGCTGGTTTTTATTCACCTCCTTATCTATCTGTAATCACCACCTTTTGTGGAAAAATGTATTTACACATGCATATGTAAATATTTCATTCATTCATTCATTCTTATATGACCCATTGTGTTGGTAAATTTTTTGCCCCAAGTGATGAAAAAGAAGCCTTTAATGTTTTCAGGTAATTAACAAGGCAATGTTCGCCTAGTGTCTATGGCTGACAGAGTTTGTCTTCTTACTTCCTATGTGAAGATCACTAGTGTATCAAGTAAAATTAAATACAATATCAAAGGTTATTGTAGTAAAATAATTGTTCTAGTTGGTATTTTCTATGTTTTAGCTATAATGCCTTTCACTATATGTACAAATTATCATATCTATAATGCAGATTAAGTTTAATTATGGCACATTTAGTAGCATGTTTCTAATTGAGTAATTAGGAGTTGGTTGATTTATCTTTTGAAGATGTGATATGATGAATTATTGGAAGCATCTCATCTATTATAGACTTGTCTTTTAATGTGGCTTTGTAATTTCTTATTTGTGCTAGGATGAAAAGAGAATCTATAACAAGCTAGGCATTAAAAGAATTAATGTTTTGGATGTCATTGTCTGTTGTCATCCTCAAAAGTGCTCTTTGCCCGTTCATGCAAGAGGTTCCTTTAAAAAAGAAGAGGTGGAATAGAGGCCTCAACATATTCCTGTCTTCTGAGATCTCAAAGTCTAGGACTGTATCTACCAAAGACAGTAAAAAAGAGTTGTGCACACGTGCATAGTAGAGCATATTTATATACTACGTATTGATTGAGAAATGGAACTTTTCAGAGGTGGAATGCCCAGTAGTTACCTAGTTAGGATGGAGAATCATACTAAGAGTTCTGCCTACAGATTAGTTAGAGAGGATGCAGACTCTCTGATAAAATGGGAAGAGTTCATATATATTAGATTCAAGTTAGTAAGCCTTCGAGCAAAGCTTAACCATAAATAAATAATTTTGGCATACCTGGAGGTTACCCTTTTGTAAAAAAATAAATAGCTTCATTCAGCATCCACTTATTAAATCTTTACTCTGTACCAGGTACAGTGCCAATGATATTAACTGAATTTATTTAGTAATTCAGCAAAATTTTTTTAATGTTTATTTTTGTGAGAGAGAGAGAGAGAGAGAGAGACAGGCAGACTGTGAGCAGGGGAGGGGCAGAGAGAGAGGGAGACATAGAATCCAGACTAGGCTCCAGGCTCTGAGCTGTCAGCACAGAGCCCAATGTGGGGCTTAAACTCACGAGTCATGAGATCATGACCTGATCCAAAGTCGGACACTTAACCAACTGAGCCACCCAGGTACCCCTTGAATGTTTGTTTTTTTTAAGTTTATTTATTTTGAGGGAGAGAGTGCACAAGCGGGGGAGGACAGAGAGAGAGAAAATCCCAAGCAGGCTCTTCAGTGTCAGCGTGGAGCCACACATGGGGCTTGATTCACAAATCCCGAGATCATGACCTGAGCTGAATTCAGACGCTTAACCAACTGAGCCACCTAGGTGCCCCTCATCAAATAGTTTTTGGGTGATTACCATGTTCTACATATAAATGTTAGGGTATCCTTCATAGAGTTTTTATTCCAGCAGGGGGAAGACTGACAGTAGGGAATAAACATAAAAAAGAATTAAGTTATACAGTATGTTGGAAGATGATAAATATATGGAAAAAAAAGAAAAAAATAAAACATAGTAATGGGGATTAGGAGTGGATGGGAGGTGGTTTGAGCTTTTAGTTTTAAATAGGATGGTTAGATACACCTCTTTGAAAAGATGACAGGAGTTAGCCATGCAGGTCTCTGGGAGAAGAATGGTCCAGAGAGAAGAGCTGATGTAAAACCTTAAGAAAACATACCTGGTGTGTCTGATAAGAAGCAAAGAGGCCAGTGTGCCCCAGCCAGGAGAGTATGGTAGAGAGGAGGTAAGAGAACTGATGGGGCAGGGAGGTTCATCCTAACAAGCAGGGCCTTCTAGGCCACCATAAAGATTTGGACTTTTGCCATCTCTGAAAAAAGGAGCAGTTACAGGATTTTTAGGAAAGGAATGACATAATCTGACTTATATTTTTTTAAATGTTTATTTTTGAGAGAGAAAGAGAGACAGAGTGTGAGCAGGGGAGGGGCAGAGAGAGAGGGAGACCCAGAATCTAAGCAGGCTCCAGGTCCTGAGCTTTCAGCACAGAGCCCAGTACAGGGCTTGAACCCACAAACCGTGAGATCATGACCTGAGCTGAAGTCAGATGCTTAACTGACTGAGCCACCCAGTCACCTCTCTGACTTAAATTTTGAAAAGATCACCTTGCTAATAGGCTCCAAGGGTAGAGCCAGGGAGAACAAGTTGGATCACTATTGAATTGTAGTAAGCTAGGAGAAAAATGATGGAGGCTTGGACCAGCATAATATGAGGAGAAATTGTAACAAGTGGTAGGATTATAATTATATATGAAGGTTGACCAGATAGATATACTGACATATTGGATATAATGTTCCTCTCCCTAAGGCTCTCATGATATATTGGGTGAGGCAGATACATAAATAGATGAATTGTCATTACTGCTGGATGAGGTGTACAAATATTTTATAGGGGTGGAAAAATAGGTGTCTGAGAAATATTCCTGGAAGAAGTGAAACCTAAAGGGGAGATTAAAAAAGATAAAGCTTTCTTTTTTAAATTACTTTTATTTCTTTTTTAAGTTTATTTATTTTGAGAGAAAGAGTATGAGCAGGGGAGAGGGAGAGGGAGACAGAGGGAGAGAGAGAGGGGGAGAGGGAGGGAGAGAGAATCCCAAGCAGGCTCTGCACTGTCAGCACAGAGCCTGAGAGCCTGATGCGGGGCTCAAACTCACGAACTGTGAGATCATGACCTGAGCCAAAACCAAGAGTCAGACACTTAACTAACTGGGCCACCTAAGTGCCCCAAAAAAGACAAAGCTGTAAAGAATGTTTGGAAGAAAAGACATTTCAGGAAGAAGTAACAGTATGAACAGAGGCTCTCGGTAAGAAATAGCATGGCAAGTAGGGAAGGGTGCTGGAGAAGAAGTGAACATAGGATTACTCCAGTATGAGAGATGCAGGCAGATCATGGAGGGCCTTAATGTTATATACCAAGAGGTTTGATCTCTGGTCTGTGGGCAGTGGGAAGCTGCTAAAGGGTTTTAAACAGAAAAGTTATGTGGTAATATTTTCCTTTTAATAAAGTAGATGACTCGGTTGGTTGTGTGGGAGCCAAGAAGCAAGGTGATGGTTTTATTTTAAATCATTAATGAATCTATACAGCCTTAGTGATTCTAAACAGAAACATTAAACTAAGTTTACTTTCTTTAACAAAAATGAATTGGAGCAAGCTCATATTAGCAGTATAGTAGTATTGTGTATATGTGTGTTTCCACATCTATAAATCTAAACCCTACACACCAAAACAACTTCTCTGGCTTTTTATTCCTAGTTATTAGTTATCAAAACCAAGGAGTTAGTTACTTTATGTTTAGTATGTAATGAATATATACGTGATCTTCTTGTTACATTTCAGTGAAGGGAGTGTTAATTGATAAAGAAGATATTTACAGGTTTTTTTCTAAGTTATGTCTATTACCAACATAAATGGTTTCTTTCTCAGTGATTTGAAAAGTATTATCATTGAGAAAAATCAGATGACCTATCTGTTAACTAACAACAACAACAAAAAGCTCCAAGGTATATTGTATCAGCCAGTTCTAGGATACAAAAACAGTTCAGTACTTTGTGCTTTGTGCAGAAAGGGTAGCTGCTATTTAACCTGTCCCAAAGGCATGTGTGGTTGTACCATAAACCAAGCATGGCGCCTGCTTGTCTGACCTTAGAAATGAAAGTTTAGGAGAGTTAGTATATATGTGCTACATTTTTTCGTATATTCATTGAGCTCCTAGTACAGAAGAAAAGAATCAGTATGACAGTTGGGAGTACTGCCACAAAATAATTATGGTAAGAATTGGGCCCCTGTGATGAATAGGGGCACACAGCAGGTTCTTCCTGTATATTATTTTGTTTAATCTTTGAGACCCTCAGAAAACTGAGGCTAAAGCAAGTTCATGCTGGTAAGTGGTGAAGCAGGGTAAACAGGGTCAACTAGTAGTATGGATGACTTGAATGGGGAAATGGTAGTGCATCAGTGATAGGGGCAAGATAGCACAAAATGGTACCCTCCTGGGCTTGAGGTGCTAGACATAGTGACCTGGGTCTTGAGAGGATTTGTCGTTACTTGAAATTGAGGGTAGGGTTGAAACAGTCTTTTTTTTTCTTTTTAAAAATGTATTTATTTTTGAGAGAGAGAGAGAGAGAGAGAGAGAGAGAGAGCAAGTGAGAAGGGGAGAGACAGAGAGAGGAAGAGAGAGGATCCCAAGCTTGAACCCATGAACCATGAGATCATGACCTGAGCTGAAATCAAGAGTTGTATGCTTAATCGGCTGAGCCACCCCAGGTGCTCCTATACAATCTTTTTTTTTTTTTTAATAATATATTTGTGTTGTAAAAAAAATAAAAAATAAAAAATAAATTGTGTCGTAAGTTGCCAGCCATGTTAAAGAAGTGTCTGGATGATAAAAACAATATTCATTTTTTTGTCTCCAGGCTATTCCCCTACATAATGATGCGGGTATATTAGATACTCAGAAAATATTTGCTGGTGATAGTGGTAATATGAAACCTGCTTCAGGTTACAGCACCTATATAAAGCATATTTTGAAAATAACCAGTTGTGAACTTCTGTTGCTATTTTAATGTCTGAGTTTTTACTAATTATATTTTTAAGATAATTTTATATAAATGCCAAAATCCTTCATCTTCTAACACCTTGAATTACTTTTTATTTTCACATGTACATCTTATTTTTTCATTATGTGTTTTTGCTTTTTATTTATTTTGTTCTTTTTTTTTACCTGCCTCTGTTGCATAGAGAAGCTGCAACCAGTTTTGCAATTTTCCAAGTCCCAAACGGATGTCTATAATGACAGTACTAACTTGACATGCCGCAATGGACATCTCCAGTCAGGTGGGTTTAGGTTAACTAACATGGAAGATAATAAAGCTTGCATGCAGAGTAGAGTCCTATATAACCTGATAATGTTGATTTGATTTTATAATGGTTTATTTCGTTGGCTTTTGTTTTCACAGGGCTGTGTTGAAAATACAGTATCCCTGTCATTCATGGTATATAAATATGTAGCAAATAGGATATAACCATTCTCAACATGCTTTATTTGCTTATTTTGCAACCACCCATTTTTTGAGATTATAAAATATGAAGGTTCATTTTCCTAAGCTATTAAAATATTCTTTTGTTTCTGTTGCATTTTCAGCATTTGTGGTTTTTTTCATGCATACCTGTACCAAGTTTTCATGAAGTGGTGTTTTTTAAGTCAGAAATTTTAATTTCTCTTTGTTAAATATCAATATTAATTGCACATATTTAATTACAGTTTTAATTACTATGCATGAACGTTTTAACATAGTACCTTAGGAAAAATTTGAAGCTGAGTTCACATAGTAAGGGGAAACATTAGAATACTATTATTAACTATGGGTTAAATTTGTTTTCCACGAACTTTGGGGTATCAACTCCTACAGAAGCTTACAGCAGATCTTTATTTCCTAAGTTCTCTGACATCTTGGCTAGTTTTATTGGTGACTTTTTCAGCATTAGTTTCATGTACAGGGCTTAAACTTTATGAAAGTAAACATTGCTTTGTTCAATTTGTAGCAGAAAAACCTTAGTTTAGACTATAAGACAACTGTCTTCTTTATTCATACATAATACAAACCTTCAAGACTTGAATTAAGAAGAATTAAGGTAAGTGGACTGGAGACAGTAGGTCATCAAATCTTTTCCCTTCTGGCTTTACTTCTCTCTTATGGAGTTCTCATTTTGGTTTGGTCTTCTAGTACAGAGCCCCTTGTGACTGGCTGTATTCCTTTTCCTCCCTGTACATGATTTAAAAAAATAATATTTAAGGTTTATTTATTTTTGAGAGAGAGAGGCATAGTGCAAGCAGGGGAGGGGCAGAGAGAGAGGGAGACACAGAAGCTGAAGCAGGCTCCAGGCTCCTTGCTGTCAGCACAGAGCCCAATGCAGGGCTTAAACTCACGAACCGCAAGATCATGACCGAGCCGAAGTCAGACGCTTAATCAACTGAGCCACCCAGGTGCCCCCTTCCTGTACATGATTTAAAACACCATTTCTAGGGGCGCCTGGGTGGCTCAGTTGGTTAAGCGGCCGACTTCGGCTCAGGTCATGGTCTCACGGTCCATGAGTTCGAGCCTCTCGTTGGGCTCCGTGCTGACAGCTCAGAGCCTGGAGCCTGTTTCAGATTCTGTGTCTCCCTCTCTCTGACCCTCCCCTGTTCATGCTCTGTCTCTCTCTGTCTCAAAAATAAATAAACGTTAAAAAAATTTTTTAAAATAAATAAATAAATAAATAAACAAAAAAAACACACCATTTCTAATATAGAAATAAATATTTTGCCTGTTTCTCTCAGCCCAGCTATGAAGAGCTGACATTTTCATAAGGAACTTTTTTAAAAACCAAGAAATGTAAGAATTTACCACATATAAATAATTAAGTTTCTTTTTTTTTTTTTT